CTCTCTCTCTCTCTCTCTCTCTCTCTCTCTCTCTCTCTCTCTCTCTCTCTCTCTCTCTCTCAGGTATGGATCGCACGCAGGGGTGCACGGCCGGAACGACAAGAGGAGGAAGCTCAAGACCAAGTACGCTGAGCTCGCACAAGTCCTGCAGGTAGGCGAGCCCAGCTCAACAAGTTGAGCTCCACTACACTATTGTTCTCAGGGTGGGAGGGACAATTTGCGAGGACAAGGCCACACTGCTAGAAGACCTGGGGGTTTCACACAAATTGCTAACAACAACGCTGCAATAGCTGCACATTCACGCCGCCAACACTCTGCATCAAACCATTCAGGCCCGCAGAGCTCGGCCTATCGAGCATTTCCCAAGACGGACTGGGGAAGAGTGCAGATGCGCACCGTTCGGAGTGACGTGGGGTGAACGGCCCCCTCCCATCACTTTGGTGGGGTGGCGCCCTGGTGGCCTCGGCCCCCTTTTCCTTGATTTACGCTTGCGTTGCAACCTCTCCAACCCCGTCCCAGCATGCTACCTGCCAGTGGCAAGCAAGAGTGTGCTGCAGCCGCATATCAACCGGGTGCACTCTGGCTACCGCATGTGCGGGACTGCACACATTCAAGGGTCCACAAACGCTTGGGGCCCAATGTGTGTACCACCATCTCTGGCGCCGTTGTACTGGATTTACTCATGTACTGCAGCCCAAGCAGCAGGCATACATAATGCACGCGCCGGGTGTGCGCCCCCAGCAATCGCCTGCACGGCCGCCACGCACGTGTGCAGTCTTCCATGATGCAGCATTAGATGATGCAGTGCTGTGCACGTGCAAACGTATCGCGGCGTGCAGTTTCAACCGACAATGAAAGCGATCTCATCATTGGTGACATCATCAATGCATGGTGACATCACCAGATCGACCAAGTGGCCGCTCACTCAGAGACGGGCTTCCAATGGGCAGTACACGGCCTGAACAAAACACATCACCATCCTGTACTATTTTTCACCACCACCTGCTGTAAGTGCGGTGATGCTATGCTTGCAGTCACAACGTCACATACGTTATAAAGCTGCAACCCGACCTTTGCTGCAAAAAGCGACCCAACGATTCATGCAACCCGGGAAAGTTTCCCATGTGCCACAAAACAGCCGAATACGTTGTTAGTCAACCCATGATAGATAGATAGATAGATAAGTTACTCATGCCATAGCATCACTGCCATCGGCCTCGCGCTCATCAGAGCGGACCTCCTCATTCCTCACCTTCCAACGGATCTGCCAGCAAGCATACACATAAGGGGCAACAATATCAGCAAGCACAGAGCCACCAAGAAAACCAAAATCAAGCAACTTGTAAGCTTTCTCTTCATTCTGCATCTGCTGCATCATATGCCAGCAATCAGGCGCCATCTCGTCTTCCAGTTGCCG